GATCTTTTTACGTAGCATATCGGTGAATATGCCATTCTATAATTTTTTCCTTTATTCTTATCATACCGGTAGGCTTTGTGGCGAACTGGCATTGAATCTCCGGTGTCAATACTATGGTTAGTAACTTGAGTAAATCCTGGAATATCACTAAATAACGAAGCAAATTCACTTACCACTTGTCGGATTCTTTGTTGCTCTTCCTTAGGCAGGTGGTCAAGGTTTAACATTGGCGGTTCCGTTTTTTCTTCTCGAACTGGTTTCATCGTCAGCTTAAGGGACGCTTCATTAAAATCCAGCGTTGCTTCTGCCTCTGAAAGAAAATCTATCCCTAAGATAATATGTGCTTGCAGATTCTTTACTATAAAAAACATAACCTTTACTTGTTCGTCCTTGATACGAACGTATAGCGGTAATTTACCTATGCACTTACATCTTTCTCCTTGCGCAGCTAACACTGTCGTATTATCCGAATTATATATGCGGTATTTCCGAAAATACTTCCTAAAAAAATCTTCTGCCACACAGGAACACTGCGCGCCTGTATCCAGGAGTGCGGTGGCTGGGATATTATTCACCAACACTTCAATCTTCGGAAGAGTCAAATTTTTCACCATTACTGTATTTAACTTGAAGGAAGAGGGGTTTTCTTGGCCTTCGGATTTCCGCACCCTCCCGTCAGCAGAAATCCGTTTTAGTTTAAATCCTTTTTTCCTTTCCATGCTTTCCTTCTTTTTCCACTGGCCTTGAGACTTTTTTCCTGGATTGCTATTGAACTGTCGACGTTCGCCGGCTGTTTTTGGATGCTCGGGTTTCCTTGCCCACTGATTCGCTTTGCTTCCGTAGCCGTGTGCTTGACTTTGCTGTGGTCTTGGCGCACCAAATTGGTTTCGTTGTTGATATTGGCGTCTTCTTTCAATGTCCGCCGTTCTTCTACTTTCAAACTGGATTGCTAGCTCAAATAACTTTTCCAGTGTAGTCGGATTCCTTAATTCAATAAAGTCTTGTACTTGGGGAAGTAACCTCGGCAAAATCACTTGAATTATCTCAGGATCCGGACGGTTTCCATACAAGAGTTTGAAGACGTGAATTTTTCTTAAAATAAAGCTTGAGAGATTTTCGATTCTTTGCTGATATATGCTGAAAAGTTCCGTTTCTAATTTCGCACGATCCCTTACGACAGGGAAGGCTTTTACTAGGGCAGTCTTGAAATTTTCGTAAGTAGGTAGGGGGACTTCCTGCTTGACCCAAGAGACTTCTGCCTATACATTTGAACCAATTAAGCGCTTGGCCCCTCAAAGCTCTGGTAGCTAAGGTAACTTTTTGAAACTCGTGCACGGGGTAGAGCATGAAGTGGTCATCCAATTTTTCCAAAAAACTGGTTACCGGTGAGTTTCCATTAAATGTTGCTTCTGGTTTCATCGAAGCGCGCATGGTCTGGACGATGTAACCAAATCCTTCCAGGGCGGCAGCTGGCATTTCTGGATTCTGAGCCGCTTCTGCAGGCAGCACACAGGTTCTTCTTGAAACTCGGCCATGGTTATTCTTCTTCGTTGGGCGCCACTATCAGGTTCAGTGTTCCGCCTTACTTTCTTGGGGAACATTCAAGAACCTGACTCGGAACAGGGAGCTTACTAAAGCTATGTTCAATAAATGTGGGAAGTAGACAAGATACACAGGAAGGGTATACAAAACCCTTTATTTTTCACTCTTTACAATAATTTCCGTACTTCGGAATACAGAGACCAACTACTTGTGGTCTGAACGTAAGAATATAAAAATATTAACTAAACTCTAACTTAACTTTGGAATAATAAACAAGGACTTGAAGATTGGCCGTATATTAACAGGAAGCCGTATGTAGTACAGAGAACTGTTAACACTACAATACGTTTAAAATTATCAAGAGGATTAAACCTCTGGCCTGAAAGGCAACCAGCAACCGAGTAAAACTTCTAAGGCAAGCGGCCTGCTTCGACTAACTCTTTCCTCTCTCTCGCTTGGCAAAAAGCGACAACTTAAGTACTTGGCGTTCGCCAGACAAATTTTGCATAAATAAGTTAACGCTTTTAATTCTGGTCGGAAGTAGAAAATAAGAAGTGATAGTAAAGATTTAAAATAAAATAAATGTTGGTAAAACTTAAGATCCTTACACCACTCGGTTTCCCTGCAACTAAACATAAGTTTACTCAAATCATGCTGATATTTTAAAAGTAATTTGATCTTGTCTTTGGATGAGGAAATAAATGCTAAGAAAAAATGATTTGGGAAAAACAGAATTTATTTGCGTATTCTTCTTTAATCTCGAATAAGGTTTTCCATTTTAAGGAATCCAAATTTTTCTTTTACATACAATGAAGGAATTTAAGCTGGTCTGATATTTAACCATAGTTTTCTGAATTTTAAATGCGGTGCTAGTGAATTTAAATTATAGAAAGTTTAGTGAAATTAACAAATAAAAACAGTTATGCATATTTTAATGAGACAATAATACGTGAAATACAAGGATTATTCTTAGAGTTATTTGAGTTATTTATTAAAACGCTTGAGGCATGGAGCATTATTTAATTTTTCTATTTCAATTATTTAATCACAAATGATATTTTTGAATAAATGGAGTCCATAAAAAATACATATATTCCATATAAAATAAGTATATATTTTGTGAACAAAAGTCCGTTTATATAAAGAAGAGAAGCACTGGACTATAAGATGTAAAGTACAGATTGAAATAAAGTAGATAGGCCCAAATGCTTTATAAAACTGTGGCAATCTGAAAAAATCTAAAAAGAGACTGCCATAGATTTTTATTTCCAGAAAGAAATTTTTTTGATGTTGAAAAAGAGGAACCTGCGAAATTTTCTCTCACAGTTAATGCTGTTTTGTATTTCCAGTTTAAATTCTACGCCATTCTTAAGTTTTATATTCGCGCAATTTTCAGGTTCCTGTACTTCTTTTAGGAATATTTTGCTAATTATCTTGAGCAAAGCAAGTACGTCACGAGAAAAAAGTTTAGAGACTTCGACATAAATATCCTTAATCTTTTCTATCATAACCGAGCTCTTCTTAAATACTTTCCATTAAGTATTAAAGCACTTTAGCTATACACAAACGGACGTAATTTTACTTGATTTGTCATAAAGAAATAATGACTTAAATACTAAATAACTGAAAGTGTCCCTCTCCCCAACGTAGCTTTGAGCAGATCCTTATAGAAAACCTAGTCTTGGGATAATATGCATGTTTAACCGCAGAAATGTTTTATCATTTTATCACTTTTATTATTAGTCAGATATATGACTTATATTTTCGATAAAATTCATGTTAAATGTATTTAAATAATTCCGGAAGGGAAATGCAAACATCAAATAACATTTCCTTGTATATAAAAAATAAATAAGTAAAATGTACTTTTATGTGCTTCGGCAAATATATTTTGCAAGATTTACCTCTGAAGCATAATACATACTTTCTTTAAGTTCGTGTGAAATAATTCACAAGCCGTTCCTTCAATTGCCGTTATCAGAAATGCCCCAGAAATGCTGTTCAAATGCATCAGAAATGCCTTTTAAATGCCCTGCAATGTTAGTAGAATTCAATAAAAAGGAAGATTATAATGCAACATCGTTAGGTATAAAAATATATGGACAATAATCTGTGTTAGAGTATTATTATCTTGGCATATAATTAGAAGACAATAAATAAATAAATAAAACTAAAAATAAGTAATTACCTATATTTCATGAAAAGTAGGAAAATGCAAGAAAAAATAACTATATAAAATCAGTCGAAGCAATTAAAATAACAATTGCATTTTAACTATTATTTCATGAGAGTCTTTTATTTCAGTATATTTCTTCTATTTCTATTTTTAAACCTCGAAAACATGGTTACATTTTATATGGAAGCATTCAAAAATATATCAGTGTTTTCTCTTCCAAGTTTGAAATTTTGTAGCAATGCATTCGCCTGATTACACTCTGATAAACCTAGCAAATCGAAAAATAGTTTTATTTTAATTGTATTTATTTAAATGTTTTTCTTAATTACGAAGTGTTTGAAAATACAAATTGTCAAAAAAGCGGATGCTGAATATATTTGAGATAACAACATCCATTTACATTAAGCGCATGCCTGATATGTTTCAAAAGTAAAAAATATATAAAAAGATTTTCGGCAAAATTAAAAGATAATAGTTCATGTTCACTCTGGTCCCGCACCTACCCTGCTCAAGCACAATATCCATTTCGTCTAAAATGATTGCGATTCCGCGAGAGCGATATTGTTATTAACTTTAATCGCATTTATGGTGTAAACCGGATAGGGATTAAAACTCGACATCGATTTCGACGGCGCCTTAATGATTCTCCGATTTCCGACCCGCGTAGTAGCGCCATTAACTCTATAGATAGGTGCTTTTCACTGATTTGTTGCAGTCAGCCAAAAATAGACGGCGTGTCATTTCGTCGAATTGTTATACGCAGTAATTTTCAGGAATCAGGAAGAGTTGTTAAATGAGAGGAAGTGTGAGGGAAAAGGGTAGAAATAACATTTTATCGCTTTTCTAATGTTTCAAAGCATTAGTTTCATAAAGCATAGGACAGTGCAGAAGGTGTGCTTTCAACGATGTACAAATCAATCTCTGATGCAGATGAAGCTTTGCACACACACTGCACAATCGTTCATAAAAAATCCGTGATCATAAAAGGGGACATAAAATTATTATAACGCTTATAAAAAATTCATTTTAGCTTAGAAATAATAATTTATTTTAGTAAAATGAAGAATGTTTCTTTGCAACTATTTGATAACTATTTCTCAAACTATTTGATAGTTTCATTTTTATAATATAAAGGATTGAACCTGATATTATAGGAAAAATACGTAAGTATCAAAAGATAGCTCTTTGTATTGTTGATGTTATAGTCATACAACATTTTAATAGAGATTTTGTGTTTAATAGATGTTTAATACAGATTTAAAAGAGATGTATTATATTTTAGTGCTAATGATTTGTTTCAAATGCAAACGGAAAAGTTCCAGGAGTGTCTTCATGTATCCTTACGTGAAAGAATAAAATGCATACAGTTCACTATAGTAGAAGATTTTAAGAAAAGGGCCCAGTCTAGTATGTAGAATTTATAACGTTCGAATTCATAACAATTAATCTAAGATTACTGCTACATTGAGTCAGATTAAACAAAGATATATATAGAAAGAATAAATTAAATATCTATCTCATTGCACTTGCTTAAATTTCCATTAAACAAATTGTCTTCTTTATAACCAAACACAAGCGTACCTGGTTTTTAAGAGGATAAGAAGATAAGAGGTAAAATGTAACCAACACTTAATCAGTTAACTCCTCATAATTTACAGTTTACAATTAACAACAACAACCATCTTTCATGCAAGGCTCAGCAACTCAAGTATTTAAAGCCCGCAGCCTCACATAAATCAAGTATTTAAAGCACACAGCCTAGCTTTCACCTTATAATAATAGTCTTCAATTAGTACATTAAATCTAAAAATTGGATATTTTGTCTAGACTGACAGATGATTTCCTTTCCATCTCTAAATATAACTAAATAACAGAAAAGGGATATCAAAAACTGTATTAAAGCCACTAAACATCTATTGGCATTTCCATTTGAAGTTAGACAGCTGCTGGGGGTAACACGAACATATCATAATACGGTTTGTTTATATGATAAAGCTCTTACAGAAACAAATGAAAGACAATGAGCATAAAAATTCGACAGATTGATTCATTATCAACGGCGATCGTCAGCTAAGTTTCCAAAGCTTCATTCGAAACTTAAATTCTCGTTCGCTGCTTAAACTCATTTAGTTTCCATTTCTAGAGGAGTAAGGAAAAGCAAGAAGTGAAAAAAAAAATCAGAATGTCTTAATTAAATTAAATTATATATCTTAAACGACAGGATTATAAGGTAAGGGGGATTCTCAATTACGCCTCAAGATGTAAAATTCAATTACTAACCCGCAGAACGGTAGTTGAGGGATTCATATTCTTAGGCTGACAGTTACAGTGCGGTTGCCAGAGTTCTCTCTCTAACCTGACCTTGGGCCTCAATTTAAATTAAAATTGTCGACTATTCTGATCGGGATATGCATTCTAAAGAAAGAAAACGGAAAAAAAAAGCGCTGGAGAAATAAATTAACATATAAAAGGACGTATTATATTAAATAAAGCTTGCAATATCTGTGAGACTCATTCCACTTTTACTTCCTTGCACGAGGTAAAGGAAGTGCTGTAAATCCGAAAACATTCGGATATTATATTTCAACGGAAATATTCATTTTATATCCATTTGGACAATTCTTTTGCCTGACGTCTGTACGTACGCTTAGAATAAATGACTTTTTTTCCATAACATGTTGCTAAATTAATTAAAAATTGGAACCAAAAATGAGATTTTCGTGACACCTTCACAGACGTACATAAGCATTTTTCATAACTGTAAAAACGATTAGTCGTAGAACGTTGTAATTTAATTTTGTACATGGGACTATTTAAAATCCAATTCAGCACTCTCTTCTTTATTGCAATTGGCAGTGCTAAACATGTATGTATATATACATAGATAATAATTCATCGCTTTAATTAAATTTATGTTCTTTGGAGATTATATAGGAAAAACTTTTCTAATAATATATATACCGTATATACCCGCGAATAAGTCGAGATATTTTGGACAAAAAAAGACTTCAAAGTGGGGGGTCGAATTATACGTGGGACCATAAAAAATTAAAAGAATCGGAAGTTCAAAAATTTCTTTATATAATGCAGTTTTTTTCTTGCCCCGCTCAAATTGGACGACTTATCAAATAAGTCACTTACTTGAAGTAATTTCATGACTTAAATTTTGTGACGAACTAATCACAGAGTTTCATACTTTAACTAGAGTACGTTTCGATTAAACCAAAGAATTTTCGGCTCCCGAACAACCGATCAATATCGAGCTATAAAAAAGTTTCGCCAACACGCCAAGAAAAGAGAAATGCAGATAGTCATTTTTAAAGATCGTCCGTTCATCATTTTTAAAAGAAAAACTTTACCGAAAAACGTTGTGTTTCCATCAGGTGTGCTGGTTCGCGCCCATGAAAAGGGATGGATGGATGCTGACGGAACAGTCGATTGGCTTAAAAATGTATGGGATAAAAAGACCGGGAGCAGCTTTCAAAAACCTTCGCTTTTAGTATACGATTAGCATACGATTCTTTTCGTGGACACTTTTCTGAAGAAGTGACAAAAGTTACTAAACACCTAAAAACGACTGTGGCCGTAATTCCGGGAGGATTAACATCCGTCATTCAATCCCTAGATGTCTGCCTCAATAAGCCCTTCAAAGTAAATGTTAGAAAATATTGGACAGAGTGGATTAGTTCCGGTCGACTGACATTTACAAAGGGAGGCAACATTAAAAAGCCCGATATTACATTAATTTGCTCAGTGGGTTAAAGATGCTTGGGGAACATTAAAAAAACCTGACTCGGAACAGGGAGCTTACTGAAGATATGTTCAATAAATGTGGGAAGTAGACAAGATACACAGGAAGGGTATACGAAACCCTTTATTTTTCACTCTTTACAATGAATTCCGGACTTCGGAATACAGAGATCAAACACTTGTGGTCTGAACGTAAGAATATAAAAAATATTAACTAAACTCTAACTTAACTTTGGAATAACAAACAAGGGTCTCCGAGAAGATTGGCCGTATGTTAACAGGAAGCCGTATGTAGTACAGAGAACTGTTAACACTACAATACGTTTAAAAATTATTAAGAAGATTAAACCTCTGGCCTGGAAGGCAACCAGCAACCGAGTAAAAACTGCTAAGGCAAGCGGCCTGCTTCTACTAACTCCTTCCTCTCTCTTGCTTGGCAAAAAGCCACAACTTAAGTACTTGGTGTTCGCCAGACAAATTTGCATAAATAAGTTAAAGCTTTTAATTCTCGCCGGAAGTAGAAAATAAGAAGTGATAGTAAAGATTTAAAAAAATAAACGTTAGTAAAGTTAAGATCCTTACATACTTCCCGCCAGAGTTAATTAGTTTGAAACTGAGGTCTAAAACGACCTTGTTGAAAGTTTTAGCTCTAGAATCTAACGCGAGGCCATCTTTTACAAACATTTCTCACTAGAAACTAGAATTAAAAAAAAAATTGTTTTTTTACATTATCAGCTCCATGGACAATCACTTTTCATCGGTACTGCATTACTGCATCTAAACAGGAGCTTTTAGTTGAAATCTGTTTTCCTTCCAGAGATCTGGAAGGAAAACTAGTTTAATGAAATGTTACACAATTAAATGGCAAGTCACATGAATATTTATATTTCTCTTAACATTCTTAGTCATTCATGACTTATTTTAATTATCTCTCCCGTGCTCTCTGACATGTGTTGTAAAAAGAAAAACACCAAACACGAATGTGTTCATGTACCAGTGTTCAAACACCTCCTACAATCAAAACACTAACGCGTTAAAATTCAACATAACAAGACCTCGTAACACACCCTATCTTCATCTCTAAACCCTGAGGTACTATTCTGAAAGTGGCTAACTCTGAATTGTAGCGTCAGAGAGCCTAATTACATTCATTCAACCTTTAACACATATTCACAATACTTTCTCTTTTTTCAGTCATACGAATAAGTTTAAAATTTTTGGCATTCTTTCACTTTTACCATATCACAGTATTTCTTAACATTTAAAATAACAGTTCACATTGTATATAAGGACATATTAACATGCCGTTAATTTTACGCAATTTAAAACATACATTAGTAGTACATTGTTAACTTCTATTCTTTTCCAAGCAAGTACCAATACTTCTACATTGAAATACTACATTTCAAACGTCGTTCAGACTAAAACTTCTTTCTTGCCAGAATCTTTTAAATAAAATTTTATACAATAACTTTTACAATATTTAAGTATTTACATATTCCTATTATACATCAACTTTAGTTTTATTCGCGTGTAATTGAAAAACATAATACCAAAATAGGTAACAACTGATTTCTCGCCTTTTTGGCGATAAGGTAGACCTCACATGAGGTAAAACGTCTTGAAATCTGCCACTCTCAGTAAGAATGAAAGATTAACTTAAGTTTGCAAAGTAACATAAAATTTTACTTATCTTTGTGATATTCGGACATTCTTTTCTCTGCCCAGTCCTGGAAGGTAGCGAAGATTCGTGTTTGATTTATCCTCCCTTCTTGTGCGGGCTCGCCCTTCAGTTCCTTCCTCTAGGAGCTTTCTTTTCCCTCCAGTTCGGTCACCCTTGAAGACCACCTTTTCCGCCTCTGCCTGTGGTCTTGGCCGTTTGATGGCCGCTGGTCATGGCGGAATCGGGAGACTTCTCTCTCGTTCCTGCTTGGATCTCGTTGCTGGCCGTCCGTTCAAATTTTCCTTGTATCTTTCCTCCGCCGCTGATGGTCTTTCCGCAATTCGGCGACATTTGCTGCGTAGACTCCTATCTGATGAGGTACATCTTTCGTTTTGGAGCCGTGTTATAGGTTGCTGCCATTTCTCCTGGCCTCTCTTTGGATTAGTAGAACTTCTTCCCTTCTTCCTGCTGGGGGTGGTTGTGCTCTCTCTTTTCTAGTCGGCGGAACGGCTTCTTTTTCTTGTCACCTTCAGTTTTCCCAACGGGGAAACTTTCTTTTCATATTGCACCTGCCTCCTATTCATGGCTTGCCCTTGTGATTGTCGTTGTGCCACCTCTGGAGCTTGTGCCTGCCGTGCCGGGGATCCTGCAAAAGATTTTAAATATTTGCATTTTATTACGGATAGTATGGTTTTGTTGGTTAGTGTTTGCGGAGCATGTTTCACCATTCCTGGCTTTTAACACCACTACAGCCTGAGTTATTTTTCTATGACATATGGTCCTTCAAATCGTGGAAAAAAAATTTGGCGGTTTTATCTTCTGGTGCTGAAGAAAGTGGATGCTTAATTTTCAATACTTCATCTCCTACTTTTAAGTTACTCCCCGTCGTTTCAAATCATAATAGAGCTTCTGTTTTCTTTCTTGC